CCATAGTAGGAAAGGCAAACAGAGTCCAACAATTACATGTTTGTCTGCCAGTGTCTTCCATAATAATATTTTTTGTTAGCTGTGTTTTGAGTGTTAATTGAACTTGAGCACACGTAAGTTTATTCGAATAACGTGGAGAAGTGAGCGATGAATTGATCAAAGAGACATTCGAGTCATGAGACATAGCATTTTGACAACGTGAAATAGAAACCGGTGACACAATTCCAGAAGACGACATGACGTTGTTGTGTGATAAACAAATTGTTGATTGCTGAAAATAATAATAGAACAAATAAATAAACAATGAAAAATAGAATGAAATTGAACAGAGAAAATTGAATAAAGGTTCTTTGAATATTTAGCAATGAGAAGACAACCAATTCGAGCACTTCTAATACCCATTCGTGTATCTTCACTTTATATACGTCGTCCAAATGCAATACGTAGGAGACAATATCTGTCAACCCTGTGTCGTATATATTTGGCGGAACGAGAAGTGAAATAATTTTGTCCCGTCCCGCTTCCGAGGCAATCACAGCCCGTCTCATCCTGTACCGCTATATCCTCAATTTTATCGTCTCATCCCATCCCGTCCCGTCCCGTCTCGGAACGGGACTGGTTCCGCGGCGTTCTGTTGTAAACGTACTTTAGACAATTTCACATTACTTTAGGTGAATATTCGGATAAAGGATTCCGATCAAAAAACCGAATATCCCGTTGGAGCATAAGTTCTGCACGCCTTTTCCGTTGTTAGGAGAGTTTCAGGCCTGATACTTTGTGACTAGGAATATATACAGATCTGAAATTATGGAATTGATAGAGTTTTATCAATTCTATCTATACTAAAAATTGCAAATGTATATCTCTTTTTCGTCAAGAGCTATCAAGTGTGAAACTGTCCTAACAACAAAAAAACCGTGCAGAACTTATATTCCAATGAGATAGGACGACTTCGGTAGTCCACATGGTTGCATACGAACGTATAATTCCTTGTAAAAGAGAAAAGTCGTACCATAAATTGCCATGTGACCTAAGATTTGAGAATTTTCTAGAAACTAAAGATCGGTTTCACGTGACGCATCTCATGGAAAGCTTTTTTCATTGAATTTTGTACATCTTCTCATGGAGAAAAATGGCCAGAGAGCCTGGAAAAGTCGGTACACCCTATTATATTTAAGGTCGTACGTAGAGACATAATTTAGGCACTGTTACATACGAAATTTCCTGCTATTTCTAACGCATATTTCATCATAGATACTTGCTTGTATTTTCAAGCGAATGAGTATGTACCTTGGAAACCGAGTCCCATTTGACCTCATAATAAAAGTTGTTTCACCAGTTATACTGGAAATAGAGGAATCATCACCAAGAATGAGAAAAAATCGCAGTCTTCCAACTATATGCTTATCGAAAGTTATCAAAAAATTGCCGCTATCATTTTGCTCTGAAAAGGACATCGGTGAACTTCTTATACAGTGTTGCTATTAGTTTGGACTATCTATTTTCTGACTCACATGGAGCGCGGAAACTATTCTATGAAGATTTTAGCGGAAAAACATTCAATTTTCAACCCCTTATCTCATGCTCTCAGCGTAAACAATACCTTTGAATAATCTTAGTTTTTATTCACCGAAGCCCTCATCTTTGTTATATTCCGATCTATTGTGAAACGCCAGTAGGTTCACATTGGTAAACTGAGCTTATGTTGGTTTTTCTTGAATCAATTAGAATTAATTGTTCTATTAGGTATATTTTTCTATTATTTATACTCTCGTTCCACTGAATTCGAATGATCTGAATGAGTTCAAGTGACTTAAAGTGAGTTCGAGTGACTCAAATGATTTTAGATGATTGAGGTGATTTACATTTGAATTTTGACTAATCTAAATCAGTTGTTACTCCCCTGTTCTCTACTATAAAGTGATGATCTTCTCTTGAGGATGTTTTCGAATGAATTGAAATTTTAGATATAAATATAGCACGCACATACCGAAGATTTTTTCAACATTGAACTATGGAACAGCAATCGTTGGCTAAACGAACAAAATCAATAGTGAGCGTCGGTACTATCGGTACTGTGGGCCACGGCAAAAGTACTCTGACTGCTGCCATTACTACTGTTCTGGCTAAGCAATATGGCGGCACAGTAGATACAGTTGATCAGACCAATAACGCTTCGAGAGACCAAACACTAAGTCCTCGAAGTGCCCACGTCTCACATGTGGAGTACTGTACTGCGTCGCGCAAGTACACGCATGTGGACTGTCCGGGACCCAGTGACTATGTCAAAGGCCTGATCAACGGTGATATTCAATTGGATGCCGCTATTTTTGTTGTTGACGCAACTACAGGGCCCATGGTACCGATATGGCAGTATATTGCGGCGAGCACGTTGGCAGGGGTTCCTTACATGATTGTCTTTCTGAATAAATGCGACCTGGTTGACGACAAAGAGGTGTTGGAACTAATTGAAGCGGACATACGTGACAGTCTGGTTAAATACGATTATCCAGGCGATGATCTGCCAGTGATTCACGGTTCTGCGCTCAAAGCATTGGAAGGTGATGAAGTCTGGACTAACGGAATCCTTAAGCTGGTTGACAGGATGGACAGCTATATTCCACAGTCGATATCCGCTGTGGAAATACCGCCTCTAATGCCTGTGGAAAATGGAAAACCGTGTATCAAGTTTATAGCGGAAATGTATATCTTCTCAGCAAACGAAGGTGGTCGCTGCAGTCCAATCTCCAGGGATTACTGTGTACAATTCTACATCCGCACTACTAATACAACGGGCAGAATCGAACGGTTCGATGGCGAAGAGATGGTTACCCCGGGTTCTCATATCAAAGCTACTGTTGAACTTATCAGTCCTATTGTATTAGTCAAAGAAATACCTTTTATAATTCATGAAGACGAAGAGATCATCGGTCAGGGCACTATTACAGAATTATATCCTTACATTACAAGTGACACATGACTAAAAGACGGAAATTATAATTTAAGTTTAGAATCGCTCCATCCTTCCCACAACATTTAGTTTTCGGCCTGTGAATCTTGCATGGCAAATTTTTCTATAATATTAATCTACTTTTTTCCCTTCCAAATAAATTCAGTAATTCTAACTTTCACCTTCAAACGACCAATCATGTGCTGAAGTTGTCTTAATCAATGAAAGTCTACCAAAAGTAGAATTCACAAATAGAAATCTCATTAATCCAATACCAAAGCATGGGATGGGCGAGTTTTCATAGAGAATAGGATTCAAAGCATCATACTCCGCATTTCGACTATTGCTCAGATAGTCATCATCAGGTATGTTTGCGGGTGAGGGTGAGTAGAATATAGTGGCAACTCCACGACAATAGTTGTTTCTGTCTTGCCAGGACGTCTTCAGGTGGATTTGGATATTAGATATTATATCACTCAACAGTAATTCGAATAAATTGTAAAGACATTTGAATTACTTTTTTGATACAATGATCTAAATGATATATACTTTGCACAATGAATTTTCAAAATAGTCTTAGCAGTATATAAGGTGTGGGTGTGTATAAGTTGGGATCCGGACAGTTGCTCGACGGACAGTTGCTCGACGGACAGTTGCTCGACGGACAGTTGCGCGCGGACAGTTGCTCGACGGACGGTTGCTCGCTAGGACAGTTGCTCGATAGGACACTTGCTCGATAGGACACTTGCTCGCGAATGACATGATCGCTTAATTTTCAGTATAATAATTCAAGACAAAATTGACTGAACTGATTAGTCTATATGTAGAGCACACTGACGGTCATTATCCCTGTAATGTTTAGTCGTATTCAATCATCAAACTTATATAAAAGCGATCGAGCAAGTGTCCTATCGAGCAACTGTCCGGCGAGCAACTGTCCGCGCGCATCTGTCCGTCGAGCAACTGTCCGTCGAGCAACTGTCCTAAACCCGTATAAGTTACCACGATAACCTAAGTTATTTCTGATGTTCTAAGCTCAAATCTTTATCAAGTGGCCTCAGTACCAGTTAAAGTCGATCCAAAAATAAATTTGAATCAACACATGATACCTGAAAATATCTACTTTGAGGAAAACCTAAAGCAGATACACTCACAATAAAAAGTGGGTGTGTATAAGTTACCACGATAACCTAAGTTATTTCTGATGTTCAAATCTTTGTCAAGTGGCCTCAGTACCAGTCAAGTCGATTCAAAGAAAATTGAAACAACACATGATACCTGAAATATCTACTTTGAGGAAAACCTAAAGCGGGTGTGTGGGTGTGGGTGGCTGGGTGTGAGTGTGTTAGCAGAATGACTTGTATAAAGTCAAATCAAAAGCTAGCAAGACACGTGTTTCGATTACCGCTAAGATAATCAATTATCAATTGCTTAAGATTAAATAAAATTCTCCTATTAGGAATTACAAATGTCGAAAGTCTTATGAGAAGACTCTCAAACTATTAATAAAACCTAATAAACAATCATCGGAAAATTTTTTGAAGAAGGGTGGGGTGTGGGTGTGAATCAAATGGAAACAGATCAATCTATATCTCTCAGATACAAATCAATCTGCTAGTCTCAACTCTTGCTTTTCAGCAACCGATGAAGTCGTATTTAATTTGAAGATTTGAATATCTGTGCTTTATGAAATAATAAAAAGAGAATGCAGAGTTTAATTTCGCCGACGCGTTTCATGTTTTATTTATTGAAATAATGAAACACTCATCAGGGCTCTGCATTACATTAAAAGCAAAAATCAAGAACTAATTTTAAAGATAAAAATTAAAAATTAAGAGGCACAACAAAATCAGAAAAAAATGAAAATTAAGGAGCACAATAAAAGATAAAAATTAAAAGACAGAATAAAATCAAAACAAAAGTTAATCAAACAATAAAACTAAAAGGCATAATATTATCAAGTATACTAATATCATTTATTTATCCATGAAGATATCGTTCAATTGGAGGAATAATTGATTGATCAATAAATTTTGCTTGATGAAATTAATTAATAACCACCAAATGTCTTATTTTTATCTGTCCTTTGTTTCTTATTAGCATTTAACGGCATCGATTCATCATTCATTTCTACTTCTACGTCAGATATATTATCATTTTCATTTTCATCAGCTAATACAGCAAATCGATTATTACGACGTTGTCGACGCCTAAATGAAGACGTAGTTTTACGTTGTCGTTGATTTCCTTGTTGCTGTTGTACCCGTTGATTTTGATAATTTTCATTAACAGTAAATGGTTGAGTAGTATTTCTACGGGCAAATATTTCACGCTGTGGTAATGCATCTGTTGTAGCATTCGTAGTTACTGTTGTTGTTATCGGTGCCGTTGTTGTAGCTTCATGAAACTTTATGTGAAAGTGTAATTACAGCAGCACGTATTGTTCGTCGAGTTGTACAATGACCAGCTGCAGCTGTTAAACGACCACTCTATATTACACTGATTATATCTGATAGTGAGAAGAAAAAACATCTTGATTAAATATTGCTAAAAGTTTATTGGCTAATTCTTGTCGCTTTTCTTTAAGTTTAAATGTTGATTACTAAAACTAATGGTAAATAAGGATAACATCATTCAACCTAAGAGCTCATACAAGAACTTCTATAGAAATTGTTGTTGTCGATATATTAGTACGTGTACGTAATGGTAAACTACTTAATAAACTTCAATAGTATCATTGTCTTCCATTTCCAATTGTCTAGTTTCAATCGTATCATTATCTTCCATTTGCAATTGTTATTTAGTTTTCAAATAATTTTAAACATCAAATGTTGACTGAACCACATTAGGATATAAATTATCAGTGATTCAATTCTTTCAATAAATTCTGTTTGATGAAATATATAATTTCTTGTTGTAAGTTCAATATAAAATCCATTAATAATTTCCAATATAACGAATAACCCAACGATAGATAATACATATAATAATAAAACAATAATATCACTTATTTGCCTCTGAGGGTATGGGCAATAAAGATATTATATATATAATAATCCATATTAATTGTCTAAAATGGGTCGTAGTTGATAAAAACAAATAATTAATATTGATACTTTAATAACATAATATATATTGGTACTTTAATAACATAAAACATAATACATATACCATGCCCATTTATTTATTAAGGTCTGCTCATTAAAGGTAGGAATTAATTTCAGTCATCTTCAACATGAGCCAAATATAATATGTTATAATAATTAAGCAGATACATAAAATATAACAATTCATAACATATTAAAGGGTAGACGTCTTTGTATATTCTTCACATTTCGAGTACCAAGAATAGGTCTAACTTCGTTAATCGGAGATTCCTGAAAGTACTTATGCCAAAGTAAATGAAATTTAGCAGGAAAAGTTTTCATGGTAGAACAGTATGTAAAATGTATAAACATAACTGCTTCATAGTCAATCGTAGCTTTTTGTTTCATGGGTGAATCGATGACTTTTTGACGATATTTATCATAATTGGAATTTATTAATGGCTGATCAATATTACATTTCAAAAGAACATTATTAAACTGTTCTTCAATTAATTTATTCGGATACTTATTAAGTAATAAAGTCATACGTAATTTTTCACGTTCATCCAAATATGTTTGAAATGTAGAACAATACCTAATTACTCGAAGTAACATCGTAAACGGTATATTCTTCTTCATATGTAATGGATGAATACTATTAAATGGCAAATAATATGGTTCATAAGACGGCTTTTGATAAACAGTAGTAAATAATACACCATCACGATTCTCCATATATAAATCAAGAAAAGTCGCAAAAGAGTTAATATTTGAATTTAACTTAATATTTTCATCAAAATTCTTCCATTTGTCGATTTGTTTTAAAAGATGTCTGGCGTGCCAATTAATTACTATAAATAAATCATCAATATATCGAAAGTAGAGTCCTCCGCTATTCTTAATTTGCTTGGCTATTCTTCGTTCAAAGAAAAACATATAACAATTTGCCATAGTTAAGGTTAACGGAGATCCCATAGCTCCACCTCTAATTTGATGATAAAATTACCCATCATAAGAAAAATAATTATTTTGCATCACAAATCGACTTAATCTAATAATAGTTTCTATTTTTAAACTACCCACTTTCTTCATTTTCAAATAATCTAACATTTTCTTCAATGAAAGCACTCCTTCTACTTGCGGAATCATTGTATATAAATCTACTACATCAATAGTACAAAATATAGTATTTCCATTCATATTCAGAATTGACCACTTTTGTAATGTCTTGACCAATTCAAAGCCCGAAGTAACTGTCGTCTCTTGGGCCATTTTGTCAAATAATGGTCTTAATAAATCATCCAGAAATTTTGAAATTTTAATTGTAGGATGTTTGAGACCACTTATAATTGGGCGTAGAGGAGTACCAGGTTTGCGGGCTTTTGGTAAATAATATAAATGAGCCAATTCAACTTCATTTGGTTTAATATTTAATAATTCATAATGTTTTTGAGTAATCCATTTAGCTAATCGTAGATCTAGCAAATATTTATTTGTTCTTTGAATTAATTCAGGTAATGGATCTTCTTTCCCAAGACATTTATATGCTTGAGTTTTGTCCATATATTGCTCTGATTTCTTACGATAATCTTTGTCTTTACCTAAATGGAATACTTTTGATTTATCTGATTTTTGTAATATAACATTGGCCAATTTAAATTTATGTTTTAATCTTTTAACTAAGCGACCATAATTCTTCTTTTTCTTCACTTTTACCACATTAAGAACTTGTGATTGACTTGCTTGACTATTTATTAATTCAATAATATCATTTTTATCGGTTTGACTTGCAACTATTTTATCCTTATTTAAATTTTTGCTTACCGTTGAAATAGTATGCAATGTTTGAAGAAGAACATCTAATTCAGCCATAAATTGTTGAAGTGGACGACCGGGGTGCACTTTCTTATGAAGAAAACATTTTTCTATTTTTCGTTTCAAAGTAGCCAACTGAGTTCTACGTCGTCGAGTTACTGTTTTTGGGTCATTCAATATAAATTTGGGTCCCAATTTTAATAATTGATGTTCTTCTTCAGTTAATCGAATATTTGCATCATTAATTATTGCTGGAGCAAGAAATCCTTGCCCAGCGAGCGTATTAGAGTCGGAGCGATCATTTCTTCTTTTGGATTGATGGTTTCGCTCTCGACTCGCTGTTCGAACAAAAAATAAAGTGATTGCTCAATTTCTAATTTCATTCTTTTCTCTTGTAAATCATGATATTGTTTAAAAGCTGCATAGCCAGGTTCAGCATCAAATCCATCGCATTTTCTTGAGGAAATATTTCGATAACATTTCATTTTCTCGTGCAGTCGATAGAATATACAATTTCATTGTTTGAGTACGAAAATCTTTCGTAATTTGACGCATTTGATTATACATGGCTTCTGCTTCATCTTGACTTATAATTGATTCATCAATTTTAAAAGAAAAATCAACTTTATCAATAATTTTTGGAGGCATATCTAATTCAACACGTTTTGATGATAATTGACAATTTTTGTGTACTCAAAAAGTGAGTACACTCTAGAATAGGGGTGGACCATTAACATTAATCTTAAATTAATGTTAATATTTTTCATTAACATTCATTTTAATGTTAATGCTTTTCGTTAATCATTAATATTAATGATTAATGTTTTCTTGGAAAAACTTAATTCATTAATATTAATGAATTAATGTTTAATGAGAGCATTTATTCATTAATATTAATGAAAACAGTAACATTAATATTAATGAATTAAGTTTTTCGAAGAAAACATTAATCACTAATATTAATAAATTAAGTTTTTAAAGGAAAATACTAACCATTAATATTAATGATTAATGAAAAACATTAACATTAATATTAATGGTTAATGAAACACATTAATTAATATCATTAATTAGGTCCCGTTAAATTAAATCGCCCAGCCCTACTCTAGAATCGGTCAGGGTGTCCGTCCGGTCGGCCGGCCATTTACACGATAACTTTTGAAAGGAGAGTCCGATCACGAGGAAATTTTCTACACTGCTTAGTCTTAACAATATCTCAATCGAGTTCGAAGATGAGAATGATTGGCCGAGGCATTGCTGAGTTCTTGCAAAAACAGTCATTTGCCCTATGCTTCAATATGAGAAGATAGATCCTTCTCTGTTTTCGTAAAAAACTTTTCCTATCATAGTCAAATAAAACCCCAACTATTATATACCATTCGATAGAGAATTTTACGAACTACAAAATGGTATATAAAACATAAGGAAACAAGAAAGTTGACTCATCTATTGCAAAGATGATTAAATGGAATTCGGTTCTGTTTTTGTCCATGCTCTAATTGATCAACAAATAGAGCTCTATCTTTCGATCAGAGAGATGATAGTTCGAGGTTTTCTGGGGTGGAGAACTCGAATCTGTGTTCCATTCACCTCAAAATGTCATTGGTTAAGCAGTAACCAATAGAAATCAAGTTACTGGAAAAACGACTTTCTTAGAGTAAATTAAGGTGGAGAGTTCAAATCTGAACTATATTCGTCTCCAAATTCTATTAATTGAGCAGTAGCCAATAGAAATCAAGTGTTTATAGAAAAGGTTTACCAGGATAGTTTTTATGTCCGCATATTCTAAGATGACTTATCTGTCTCATTCACTTTTTGAAGTACATATAACTCTCGCATTTAAATCCGAAGTTTCCACATTTTTATTTTTTGGTAACCATAGCTTCACTTTATGTTTCAGCAAGAAATGAGTATTCTATTGTGTTGGAGAGGCTATTTGTTCGAAATTTTGATGTAATTCGAGAAAAATCTATACGTTTTACATGTCGTCAATAATAAGAGAATTTCAAGCTACTTACGACGATCGTTTCGAATGGGGCTTAATCCATTCATCATCAGATAAGTTCTGAATAGTAAGTCAATTGTAAAACAGACCAACTTGTATATCTAAGATACAAATCAATCTGCTGATCTCAACTTTTGCTTTTCAGCAACTGATCTTTTATCGAAATTAATTGCAAATAATGTGCTTGTAGATAAAAATGAATGCAGAATTTAGCTTCGCCGACGCGTTTCGTGTTATTTATTTAAAAATAGAAACGCTCATCAGCGCTCTGCATAACAAAAAAATATCAAACGATAAAAGAGGAAGGATAATCAGAGAGGAGTAAAATCAAATAAACGAATAGTTTTTAAATGATGGGGTTAAAATGTTGATTTAATCATTGTGCTTCTGTATCTGGGCCTTTATTATGTCATTGATTTATAAATGTAATAGTACTATCTTTTCCAGAAGTCAAGGCACTCGGATGTTTCTTGAATAACTTCTGACAGGAGCAAGGTAGAGACCTGCGGTTTTCATCTTTCGATAGCCCAGATCCATAAGCATCTTTTCTTAAGCAATATCTTTTCTGAAGCAATCTTTCAAAACCAGTTTTTCAGAGGATCTCTAAAAAACCACTCTAGAACTTTAAAAATTACTATGTAAACCTATTGATTTTTTTACATATTCGTAATCAGCATGAAAAAGTGAGTACATCTATATCAAATTCGAACGTTTTGGAGAACTTTTTTTTTCGTCGAAAAACCGAGCCCTAGGGAGCCTTCAGAACTAAAATGGGTCAAAAAGTCACTTAGATGGCTCAAAACAAGTTCGAATTTCGTAAAATGATATTAAAATGCAAAATGGTGAATGAGTAAACAATAAAAATGGCATTTTCACCGACTTCATTTTTTGAGACACCCTTGAGCATCGATTTTTCGACAAAAAGAAGAGCTCTCGAAGACGTTCGAATTTTGATATAGATGTACTCACTTTTTCATGCTGATTACGAATATGTAAAAAAATCAATAGGTTTACATAGTAATTTTTGAAGTTCTAGAGTGGTTTTTTAGAGATCCTCTGAAAAACTGGTTTTGAAAGATCGCTTCAGGAAAGATGTTGCTTAAGAAAAGATGCCTATGGATCTGGGTTATCGAAAGATGAAAACCGCAGGTCTCTACCTTGCTCCTGTCAGAAGTTATTCAAGAAACATCCGAGTGCCTTGACTTCTGGAAAAGATAGTAGTTCTAATTGATCATGTTGTGGAATAAATCATGTTGTGAAATCATCATGTTATGAAATAAATCATGTTATGGAACAAATCATGTTGTCGAATAGATCATGTTTTGGTTATACATGTAAGCGAATGGTTATATAAAGCAGATAAGTGAATTCGAAAAAATGGGATAAATACGAGTGTGAGTATGTGGGAAAAGTCTAATGCAATAGATATAGTATAAAATATAATTCAGTACTAATATATGCATAAAACATCTTTAGTAATTGATAAATTTAAATGTATAGCGTATATAGAAAAATACAATATGTCAATTGAATCATTTAATATGAAAATAGCCAGTTAAATCATTTGATACGAAAATAACCAATGGAGATCAATATGAGACAAAAATCCAATGTAATAGATTGAACTTCGAAAATGAACGACTTCATAATTTATAATTTACAGATACAAATATATAATTCCTGGTGAAGATTTTTAATGTTATTGTAATGTAATATATTAATGATTATGTGTGTAGATTAATAGCAAATCAATAGTAAGGCTTTACTACATATTGATAAAGCAAGTAGAATTAGCTAATTGACAATAAAAAATATATGTCAAACTTGAAACTTGAATTCAACTGTTCAATTATTCAATTATTGAATAGTTAAACTCTTTTCAACTATTCAATTATTCAACTATTCAATTATTCAACTATTCAAGTTTTCAATTGTTCAATTATTGAGTTCAACTCTTGAAATATTCCACCATTCTTAACTTTTTAGTTTGACACTGCTGGCACGAGGGTGCTACAAGGGCCGAGAGGCGCGACCCTGCATGACGGTGTCACGAAGTATCACATTTGCTCTTTTGCGTGAGGAACTGTGGGATTGTTGAAAACTTGAATACGTTAAACTTGAATACGTGGAAACTTGAATACATGAAAACTTGAATAGCTGTATGTTTGAATACTTGAATTTAACTTTTAAGTGTGACACCACTGTTAGCCGCGCTAACACACCTTTTATATAGGCGTCACGGCGTTGGGGCGCGAGGCGCCCCCACGCCGTCTGAATAATGGAAAACCTGAATAATTGAATAGTTGAAAAGTTGAATAGATGAATAATTGAAAACTCGAATAGTTGAAAAGTTGAAAAGTTGAATAATTAAATAGTTGAAAACTTGAATAGTTGAACCGAATAGTTGAATAGTCAAATTCAACTTTCAAGTTTGACACTCCTGAATGCAATGGTCAATATCGTACGAATTCATCGTACTGCTTCTCTTATACGAAAAGAATTCAGTAATGATTACTTTTTTTCATTTCTATTGTTACATGTGAGCTTAGGAAAATATACTAAGATCATTCTGGTAATTGATAATGTTCTATGGCATGATCAACTCACAAATAATATAATGCCATCAAAAAGATCATGGCGAAAAGAATATATTATGCAATGACTCGATGTTCATAACATAAACGCTCCTATTATAGCTGTCAAAGCTGTATTATTTGAGATTGCTGTGAAAAGCCTACCTGAGAGGAAGTATGAAATTGATGAAGCAGCTGAACAATTGAAAGGCTTCCCTTTAGAAAATTCAATTTTTCAAAGACATATCGAAGTTGAGTTTTCGTCATAGGAAGATGCAGTGACGCTTCCTCTTTCAGAATATGTATGGATTTCTGGAAAATGATCAGATTTTCAAAGACTTATCACATTAAACTTTGATTCTACCACCATATTTTTCGAGAAATTTTCATGGTCTTTAGAGGTTTCCAGTTTTGGGAAAACTGCGTTGCCACTTGTATTTGCACTGACGAGGAAGGTATCCAAGTGTGACGCGCCGGTTGGAATCGGACATATGCCAGTTTGTAGAGCTCGATGAGCTGATTCTCGTGGCATATAGCGTTTTTCCCCATGGAGCTTTTAACCAAAGTAAATCAATTAAATCTACTTATGGGAAAGCATATTTGAGCTATTGAAGTTTAATACAATTTAGAGTGAGAAAGATCAAATTTTACCATTGAATATTTCACTTTTGGCCGTAGATTTCCACTTAACAGGATAGAAAGTTCCTAAAGATGTCTTATTCTGTGTGTTGGAGCACGGCCCTCACTGTGTAGATATGTTATTTGCATACCACACCATGAAAAACATCCATAATTCTGAAGCAACACCAGATTATGCATCTAGAGTTGAAGACTTGCTGATTCTTATGATTTGCGTCTATGACTACTTATTGGTTTTGTTGTTGTACACAGTTTATTTAGAGATCATATAGCACAGAATCAATGAAAGTGATAAACAATAAAGAAATGTTCGAGGCACAATATTCGTCTACAATGGCTACAACAAATAAACGCACTCTCATTACAATTTCTCTCTGAAGAGTTGTCCAGTTCGAAAGAAAAACAAACTTCTATAACATTCGAAAACCTTG